AAACCAAAACGAACATTATGGAATATTTTAATTTTATTTCAAAGAATAAATTTTGTCCTGATTTGTTTTTGTTTTTTTAGCAGTGTACATAGATGTGATTGTGTAATAGCTCAAAATAAAGTCTCTCTCTCAAGGGAACCAAAACCAGCCAGCAGGAAACTAGGCCAAGGGAGGATGCCCCCACCCTCACCAGAGCCCTGCCATCACCCAGCCATCCCCCAAATCACAAGGGAGTTCCTGCCTCAGCCTGCACACTGGCACACCCTTTAGGAGCTACTTGAGCCTCAAACCCACTTGCCTGCCCCTCACTCCTTTCCATCCACACTGGCTTTCTCAAGCCTGGGGAAGTCCAGCAGCCCCCTCCAACCCACCCCAACTCCCTGCTAGAGCCATGCAGGCTGCACCCCCACAGCCTGGTGGTTCCCCTTCCCCCAGGAGGAGCCCCAGCCCCAGCATGCTGGGAGCAGCCTCACTTGGGTGGACAGGAAGGAGCTGTGCTGGCTGCAGCCAAGAGGCAGATGGCTGGGCTGGCTTGCAGTGCTGCATGGGGCAAGGGAGGAGGTGGGGACAGAGCCAGGAGGCACTGGGTTACCTTTGCCACACGGTCCTGGCACCCAACGGGGTTCCTACCAGCTCCATGTTGCAGGCAGGCAGGGCACCGCCAGCCCAGCCTGAGCAGGGGTGCCGGGGCCTGACAGTGAGGCAGAGCCAGGTGGGTTGGTGGGCAGGGTTGCTTCCACCTAGCAACATGTGGTGCCACCAGAGGCCGGAGCTGGAGCTGCTACCCACCCACAGACTGGACAGAGTCAATTGGTGAGCTAGATACAGCCCCGCAAACCATATTTTGCCTACCTCTGGCTTTAGCATCTCACCTTGAAGTAATCCCCGAAAGACCAGCTCCCCAACATCTCAAAGAAGGTGTGATGGTAAGTGTCTCTGCCCACATCCTCCAGGTCATTATGCTTCCCACCAGCTCGCACACACTTCTGGCTGTTCACCACACGCTGGTACTGGGCCAGCTCACTCCGGGGATCTGCCGTGCCCAGGAAGATGGGCTTGAACTAGAACAGCAATGTAAAAGTGTAACCATTTTCAGACGCTGCCTGGTACAATGGACTCCAACTGTGCTGTGGCAACTCTGAACAAGGAGAAAGGCACCTAGGGCAATTAAGGGCTAATTGCAACATCGGCAGATGGGACAGTTCAGTAACTGGCTTTGTTTTATCACAGTTGAAGCACATCAGGGGACTGCTCCAAATATTTGAAGAAGAGAGAAAGCACCTGTTTTCTCTTGCTGCAGAGAAGACATGGACCAATGGCTTCAAGTTGCAGGAAAGTGAGTTGAGATTGGACATTCAGAAAAACTTCTTCACTGCAAGACTAGTGAGACAGTGGACCAGACTCCCTAGGGAAGCTGCGGACTCCCCATCACTAAAGGTTTTCAAGAGGTTGGACACTGCTAGGGGGTGATCCAGGCATAACTACTATGGGCATTTCCTGTGCTTTGCTGGTTGCCCCCTCCCTCCCCTTTTCTGCTATAACACGTGTACGGGTGCTTTTATGCCTTCCCAGAAGCACTGTGTATTGGCTATAGCTAAGGCTGAAGATTTTGGTCAGGGTGTGCCAATGCTCCCACTGGGACCAAATCCAGAGGTTCCTGGCTAGAGGGTTTTAAACCTCTGCTCAGGGTCAGACCGATCATCATATCTGGGGTCAGGAAGGGCTTTTACCCCCGTGACCAGACCAGTATGGACTGTGGGGGGTTTTGCCTTCCTCTAGCAGGGGGTATAGCTATCCGGGATCTCTTGAATGTATACTGGCAACATTTAATAGAAGCAGGATGTTGGCTGCTGTGATTCCCCTGCTTTACCTGGGGCAGGTTAGGATGCTAGGTCTGTGTTGTGTCAGGGCTGATGGTAGATTCATGCAGAGGCTAGATTATGATTTGTACAGGATGGTTTGGACAGGGATGATCCTACCTCAGGCAGGGGGTTGCACTAGATAACCTCTGGGGTCCGCTTTCAGCCCTACTTCCCTATGACTGTGGAGGGGAGCGAGACCTGTAGCCTCCTGGCTGGGGCATGGGAAAGGCACCGCCCAGGCTCAGCCCAGTCCCTGCCCTGCTTGACAATGTGAGTGAAGGGTGGGTGCAGGTCTGGGATACAAGCCTCTTCCAGCTGGCCTCACCAGGGCGGGCCCTGCACAGGATACACCAGCTGCACACACGTGCACGTGTACACGCACTCCCATCCAGGCACACATGGGAACACACATATGTACACACACATAGACATGCACATGGACACACACTTGCACGTGTATATGCACTCCTATTCAGGCACTCACACACACACACAGAGGTGCGCACAAACACACGCATGTGCATGCACGCGGGTAGCCATCCCTGGAAGGGATGCAGACGCGTGTGCTCATACAAACACGCATGCGCACACACCTGGTTCATGCCCGCGTTGACGAACAGCAGCGCGGGGTCCCCGCGGGGCCGCACCGAGGCGGAGGGCAGGCGGCGGTGCCGGTGCCGCCCCTGGAAGAAGCTCAGGAAGGCCTCGCGCACCTGCCCCGCGG